TCCCGCGGCCCTGAGCTCCGGGCCGGGGCCGGGCAGGGCGGCCCTGGGGCTGTGGGGCACCTGGGGGGCTGTGGGGCACCCGGGGGGCTGTGGGGCACCCGGGGGGCTGTGGGGCACCCGGGGGGTGCGCGGAGAGGGGCGGGCAGGGCTCCGGGAACGAGCTCCGGCCACCGGCTGTGGCAACACCCGCCCGGCGCGACCACCCCCGGCAGCGCCATCAGCCCCCAAGGGCTGCGCTGCACCCGCGCTTGGAGCCGGAGGGGTGGAATTCGTCCCCTCAGGGGAGGCCTGTGAATCACTTCCATCTATTTCATCCCTTTCCAGCAAAGGCACCGTCATCAATCTTCATCATCATCTTCTTTTCACTACGAAGAGAGGACATCACAAGTTTAATCATAGCACGTCTCACTCTTTTAAAATTTAGGGTTAAAAAAAGGCAGTAGCGCAAATGACGATAAGCATCATTAAAAGACAATAATTCTCAACGTTTTCAATATTAAAGTTTAGCTCTTGCAAGCACAGAACACCAGCAAATCCCTAGGGCTCGGGGGAAGACATTTTTGCCGTTTCACGGCAGAACAAAGGATCGCAGTGGTAGCTCTTCAGAACTACAGGGTCTGCTTCCAAAATAAATCACGGTGGTTTTTCTTCAGAAAAGACCTCATGGTTTTGTAGTCACAAATGCATACATGCAGTGGGCAGATGAAAACACTTGAATATTAGAAATCTCAGTGCTTGCTAACTGTCAAAAAAATGGCTAAACACTATTTGAAGAGATGGAAAGGATCAGAGCTTTCTCAGCTTAGAGCCAGGAACTCAGTGGAACTGTTCAATCCCTTATCAATATATAATATTACTGTAGTATAAGCTGTGGAGAACACACAAAAAAAGTAGGAGAATGATAATTAACTGGACCACAAGCACTAAAAAAATTGCTTTTTTGCCCCCTGTTAGCAACCACTATTTCATAGTCAAGCCTTTGCATATAATTTAGATGAAATAGTGCTCTACCTTACATCAGACTCACTTCTATAAATTAGTCTTCCACAGATCCAGAGCAATGAAAATAACTCTCAGAAATGTGCTGATAACCCCAGAATCCTTACCTATCATCAGGCTTCTATTCTTGGAGCTGTACCAGAGTTAGGAATTACAGGGTATTTTGGATAAAAACATTTCAAGCATTGTGTTGTACATAAGAAAAAAATAGCTTGCTTGGTAACTTACAAGGAAAACTATTATATTAACCAAAACCTTCCCTCACCTTAGAAGCACAGAAGATGGGCAGCTTCTACAAGGAAGCATAGGGTAACCTTTTCCCCTGCCATCTTTAGCAGATGTGTATGTACAGCAGCAGGAATTCAAAACTACAGGATACTGCTGATATAGACAAATCAAAAGATCAATTCTTACTTCAATGTGGCTTTATATTCTATCCTATTTTGGTATTGATTCAATGGTTCATTGCCTGTTCAATGTTATCAATGCTACAAAAATGTGCACTTTCTCTCCATTTACCCTTCCTGGTATTTACTTCTATTCCACTCAAACACTTCCCACAACGCATTGTAAATGTGCATCCAGTGCTAAGACTCTGCCCGTTCAGTCATTTGAACAAAAGTTCTGTACAATACAAAAGCAATAAATGTATTTTAACCTTGCTGGAATCAAGGTAGCTGTAAAGCCATGAGATCAGAAAAGGAACTCTCATTGGATACAACAGCACAAAGAAGGTGCAGGTCAAAAATACACCTGTTTATGTGATATGTCTCCATGTGGCTTTTTGTGTAATGATACATCTTATTGTGTTCAAATGTGTTTGTTTTGCAGGATATACTTCTGTTTACGTGCTAAATGTTTCTATTTCTGTGAAATCTTTTCCATACTATTTCCCAGATCCATAGTTTATTTCCTTAGCACTAAATCAGCTCCTGCTTTGCCAAGCCTCTCTAACAAGGAGTGATGCAGAAGGACTCTGTAAGGGCTTGGACACATGGTGGGGAGAGAAGAGAATTGGAAACCGGCAACACCATCACTAAAACCTTGGACATGACCCCTTTCCCTGTTCATGGAGAACACAGAGAGGCAACGCACTCACAGACACAGCTGTGAGCACAGAGCACACCTGCCCTGCCCCGCTCTGCTTTGGCACTGAGCTCCTCACTAGGGCCCTGGTGAGCTTGTGTGACATGTGACAGATAACACAAAATCTCTGCTAATTATGACAAAATAGGTTTAATCATCAGAGAAAAAAATGGGTAAAAGTGCTGTCTTTGTTTCTCGTTACATCTGTTTTCATTTGGCATCATTTCTATCATCTACTACTATACACTCCTCTGCCCAGCACAGAGACAATTTGGTGCAGAGCATAAGCTCTTCTATTTTGGATTCTATTTTGGCTCATACAGAATCAACCTATTTTCTATTCTAGAACTAATTTATTTGCAGTGATGATTCATGAGCCAGAAAGAGTACCACTTGGCTATCAGATGCCAAGGAGAACTTGCAGGAATGACAATTAGAATGTTTCTTACTGTGGTGAGAGCAGTTGATATCAAGCCTAGAGAAATAACTGAAAATCAGCCTTTCAGTGCTATTTTTGCAGTTGTTTTATAACCACACTTCAAGGTTTTTCATCTAGCTGATGAAAACAGTAGGCAGATGAAAGCAGGAGAAAACCAAACAAGCCAACAACTTACCTCGCCAAGTTTATGCCTATGTGGTAGATATTCCTTACTTTTGTGGATTTGCCTTTTTATATCTTATCTCAGTTTATCTCCTTTTATGCAAATTATATACTAAATAATCTAGTATTTAAAAAGAAAAAAATGTTGGAAAGTTTACTGGTGATCTTTATGCAAGGCATTAGGTATATCTATAATCATCTGACAATAAGTCATGTATTTTGCACATATGTGTGCAGTATGAATAGTCCTCTTGATTTCAATGCACTCATCAACAGTATGAGAAATTAACCACGTACAAGCCTGAGGGTTTGTGCTCTACACGTCATTTTACATGCAGCATTTATTTTTACAACACTTAAGGCAAAAAGAAGGACTTAACGACCCTAGAATCAATAAAAATAATGAAAGAAGTCAAAGCCAGGATGTTTTAAGCATTTATTCAAGTTCCATCAGCTTTACCAGCAGCTTTTCCAGTGCTTATCGAACTTACATTTTTGGTCTGCAAAGCTTACAAGCTTTTCAGGCTTTTACAACATAATATGATGTTTTTACATGAATGGTTCTTAACTGAGATATTCTTAGCCAATTCATTTCATAAAATGAACTTTAAAAGATACCAGTCCAAATCTTTCACCTTAGCTTCAAGGAAACACCAACTTTTCATAATTTTAAACCTACTGACCTCAGTTTGTTGCTTTTTGGCTTTTTTTCTGATAATAAACCAATTTACAATTCTGATTCAGCATGATTTTCTGGCCAGACATATGCTGGATATGGAGGGATGCTTTTTCCTTGGAAACACATAGCTCAGAAGGGATTACTTCAGTTTCTTCCCCACCTTCTCTAGAAACCCCCCCCACCTTTGAACTGAAAGACAAACCAGAAAACGTCAACTAATTTTGTTTCAGAAAAGTATATGTAACTGGAAAAGGCATATGTGGGTTGCCAAAGTGAAATTAAGCACACAAAACTCTATAGATACAGTGTTATTTTAGTCTGATGTCTTTGGTGGGACGACTGACGCACATATTTAAGTGGCACTATGCTTTCCCCTTGTTCACAAGAAAAACAGTGAGAGAAAAACAATTCTGTTAGAAAATAAAGCAGAGACTATCTGAACGTATCTTTTTGCAACAGGCTGAATATTTCATTACACATATTTGGAAAGGCATATCCCAACAGATCAGGTAAATATAAACGGGTTAGAGGCACTTTTTCCCTTGTTGTGTGAAGTATCTATGGCAGTTATTGGTCATCCTTCTTTCACATGTTCATTTCCTTGCTTTGCCAGTGAACACCCAGTTCCATCCCAGCCACAGTCCTGCAGCAGCTACAGACCAGAGGGCACATTACTGTGTCACAGCAGAGCTGGGAGGTGACTGTGTCTGACAAAGAAAGGAGGAGCTTTTTCTATTAATTGAAATCACTTCTCTGGGTACCAAATGACCAAAAGTAATAAGGCTTCTGTTCATTTAGCATCAGCAACTTCTCCTGTCAGCTACAGTGCCATAAAACTAACCTTCATTTGAAAAGCAATGGCAAAAATGGTATCTAGAGAGCCAGAAACCCCTGTAAATCTTGAACATTACTGTTTGTAGGTAAGAGATCCTTTGTTTCATTTGCAAGAGCAGCAAATGCAGAGGCAGTTCCCAGGAGCTCCCTGGTGAAAACCTTCCCAAGAGGCCAAACTGCAGGCGGGGGAGCGGGAATCACCTCAGGAACAGCCCACTGGGAGCCTCTCGGGCAAGACCGACTTCTCAGTGTTCCCATCCTCACTTTAAGAATAATATTTGTCCTATTTGGGAGGTTTAGGTTGGACACTAGGAAGAATTTCTTCACACAGAGGGTGATTAGATATTGGGACGGGATGCTCAGGGAGGTGGTGGAGGCACCGTCCCTGGAGGGGTTTAAGACTGGATGTGGCAGTTGGTGCCATGGTCTAATTGACACGGTGCTGTTCGGTCACAGATTGGACTCGATGATCTCAGAGGCCTTTTCCACGCTCATTGATTCTGTGATAAGCTGCTACACTCTGCTCTTTCGAAACCCACCCTTAAATGTCTTTGTTCCGCGATGCTGCCAGCAGGAGCTCCCGCGGCCATGGCTCCGTGCCCGGCACACCCGGCAGTGCCCCCGACGCCCGCTCCGAACGCGGGACTCCAGCTCCACCTCCCGGCGCGGCCGGGGGCGGTGCGCGGGGACCGGGGGCCGGCCCGCGGATCCCCCGCCCCTCAGGGCACGGCACCGCCTCCCGCCCCCGACCCGCCCCGGAAAGGGCCGCCCGGGCCCGTCTCTTCCGGGGCGGTGGGTCCGGCATGAGCGACGTGGTGGAGCGGACTCTGAGCGCCCTGCCCGGGCTGCTGGGGCAGCACGACCCCGGCACCGGCCCGGGCGGCGCCGGCGGCCCCGCCAGGGTGTCGGCCTCCTCCCGGCTCGGCAGCCTCATCCGGAGCATCACGGCGCTCACCTCCAAGCACGTACGGGCTGCGGGGGCCGGGCTGAGCTCCCTGCCCGGGGAGCCGGCGCGGGGCTGGGCTGGGCTGGGGGCCCCGGGCACGGTGTCTCCGCTCGACCTGGGTCTGGCTGAGCTCGGGACCCCGCGATAAGTCGTTGCCGTGCCGCCTTGTGCCTGCTCTGGGGGCACGGAGTGGGCAGGCACGGCCACGCTGCTGTGCTTGAGCAGCCCCTGAGCGAGGCACCCGCTGCTTTGGGAAGAGCGTGGGACACTTAAATTAACACATCTTCTGTGGTTCTTGTTACCTACGAAATCTATGCGAGATTTGATCTCTCTCTTCTAGGAAGAAGAAAAATTGATCCAGCAGGAACTAACCAGTTTGAAAGCAACAGTTTCAGCCCCCACCACAACACTTGTAAGTTCTGTTAGTGGTTATTACAGGCTGCGGGAACAGCACAGCAAAGGTGAAGTACAGCAGTGTTCTCACTGTTTTTTCTCGATGGATGTACAGGTTATCTGCATTACAGATCTTTAATCATCAGCGTTAAAAGATACCGATATGTGTGGTTTTGCAGCACATTTAAAATAGTGATAACACTGTGATTCTTTTTGATGTGAATAAACTAACAGTATGGCACCAAGGATCTGTCATTCTGTAGTTTCTGAAACAAAGCAGATGAACTGCTTCTATCAAATCATGTTCTTTGTAGGCTTACATTGGTCTTATAATTAGTTTGTGCTCTGTAACGAGCTGTGCTTTGTTGTATGCACTGTTATCTTGTCTGAGTTGCAGGAGATGATGTATTCTGATTTGAGTTAGTTAATGCTTGTCTCAGTCCCATACAGGAGACTTTTTTTAGGGGAAAAAAATCAAGTTTTATCTATGCATAGTGAGAAACCATCCTGGGTCAGGGTAGCAGTTGGTGAAAAATAATTTGTGTTAACAGTGTAATCATCTGAATGCTTCTGGTTATTCATATTCTTTATGTTGGTCATAGTTAATCTACTGTTGATCACATGCATGCTAATCAAAATAAGAATTTTTTAAGGGTCATATATGGGAAGTTCTACCTTTATAGCAGAAATTAATATTGATTTTTCAGAAGAGGTTCATAGCAAAGAAAAATCACGAATACCCTGATTTTAGAAAACATATGTGAATGGAGGTATGTTTCTATCAGATACAACTCTCTGCTTCATTAGAGCAGTGAAGAAGAGTATAAAGCATGACTGACTTAAAATTCTCAATAATTTATATTTGCTATTTCAGAAACTGATGAAAGAATGTATGGTGAGACTCATCTACTGTGAAATGCTGGGGTACGAGTCTTCCTTTGGATATATCCATGCAATCAAGCTTGCACAGCAAGGAAATCTTCTGGAGAAGAGAGTTGGTATGTGCATGGAGCTGTAGCTTTAATAATGTTCTCAAATTCTATTTTTGAAGTTTCTCAGGATTTATAATCCATCTAAAAATACAACTTACTTAAAATGTTCCTCTATTTTCTTGATCTTATTTCATGGTCTCTTAATCTTTGAAATTAGCTAAATTCTTAGTTTTTGTGATGCTTTGTATGTGCTTGAAGCACAGAAGGCAGGGGAAATGAATTTTATTTTAAATCATCACAATTTCATTGTGTTGAATTTGGCACCAGTAAACAAATAATTTAAGAGAATGTTTGTTAAACACATCAAGCAGAGAATTAATTTCTCTCAAGCTCTGGGGTTTTTTTCAAGTACTATGGTACAAGATTAAATAAAGATGGTGATGTCGGACATCTGTCAGACACATTTTCTGTTTTGGTGCTCGTAGGATTATTTTTTTATTTTATTTTTTTTTTAACTTTGAAAACAGTTGTAGGGAATGAAGCAAACAGGGAGATCCTTATAGCATAGAGGCAGAAGTTCCTGAGGAAATCTGAAAGTTTAGTTCAGATTTCTTTGAAATTCCATGCCATTGGGATTTCCTTGCCTGCCAGTGTGGCTATTAACTTGTTTCCAATAGATTTAGTTTGAGGGATCTTTCAACCTGTCTCATTGGAGAATTTCCTTGCAGTTGCTGATTCAGCTGCCTAGTGAAGACATTTCTTCTCGTTTACAGAGAAAATGGTTTAACTCCAAGCAATACCATGTTTGCATACACAGAAAGAAGGCAATGTCTTGCGGGATATGCTTGTTTGATATCCTTTGTTTGAATTTCATCTGGGTCATCTACCTAAGTATTGGAGTTTCTGAGAGAATACAAGTGATGAATTAAAGCTTTCCCCTGAATAGTGAAAGCCAGTGTACAGATGCCCTGGTAGGGATTGAGAAATTTTGTCTTCACCAAACTTGAGAGGGCAGGTTGTCAGCTGTTTTGAAGAAAGCTTCTCTAAGTGTCAAGAGCCAATATGTCTTGTTATTAATAGGTTTGAGACCTTTCCATACTAGGGCTCTTCTGGAGAAGGCTTTGGTGAAGCAGCATTTTTTTTTTTTTGTGTAGGTGGCTTTAGAATTCTGCAGACAAAAAATGCCCTTCAGCTTTGATCTGATAAAAGGAAGTTATCGAGAGTGTGTAGGGGGGGTTTGGTTTCTTTTTTGTTGTTGTTCTGCATTTATATGTGATATAGAGGATGATCTTGTCAGTTCTTGGTGCAATATACCGAAGTTTGTATTGAGGAATTGTTGTCAGTTGAATTGGTCAAGGGATTATTTGTTTACCCAACGTGAGCCTCCATTCATGAGAGTGAACTCTGTGTATGTGCTAAGCTGATCACAGCCCTGGGTTCATAAGCAGGTAGGTCAATTTGATAGCCCAGGCAATACAGTGATTTATATCAAAGTTGTTAATTTTGATCCCTAAACCCTGAATGAACCAAGAATTCTATAAGATCTTTGTAGTACAGCTGTTACTGTGAGTTATGGCACGCTCTCCCTACCCCTCACTTAAGTCCCTTAGTTTAAAAGGAAGAGGGGTCTTGAAGAAAAAACTTTCTAGCAAGTTTCTCTTCTGGGGTTATAGAATGATTTCTTCCTTGTTAAGAAATAACAAGGGAGTTTTTGGCATAGGGTGGTGGATTTACTCTTCTGTATTCCAATTTAAAAATTTATTTGAAAAGAAATATTATTTGAAAAAAAGGAGAAACATATGGCAGTGCACTTTTTGTGTAGTCTAAAAGTAATACAGTTTGCTCTGTTCAGAGAAGATACTGGTTTTCCAGGAAGTGATTTCTCATGGTGATCTTGACTGCTCTTAAGCTATAACACTATCGTTATGTCTCTTACTTTTCACAACTTAGGAATTCTTAGCTGTTAGTTGTTGAACTTTACTGCAGCTTGAATATAACTGGTTTGCCTGGAAATAAAAGAAAGTCTTGGTATTTAAAAAATGAGCAACTTTCATCCAACTGGGATTTTTTTGTTGGGTTTTCATAGTTGTTAAACTCTTGTATTACAGACAATCTTAAGTTTTCTATCTTTAGTTTGCTTATTGCTTGAAAATAGTAATGGAGGCTGCTTTCTTTTATAGGCTACTTGGCAGTTTCTCTATTTCTACATGAAAATCATGAACTGCTGCTTCTTCTTGTGAACACAGTTGTGAAGGTACAGTGTTTTTGGAGGTAAAAAAAGAAGGAAAATCTTAAAGGCACAGGACAGGCTGGTCCCATGTGCCAGGAGATGAGCTGGTAGGGAAGAAGATCTGGTTGAACAAAGGACCTTATCTGGAACTGAGGGGGGAAAAAAGGAGAGTTTACAACCTTTGGAAGAAAGGGAGGACTACATAGTGAGAGGGGATGAGGAAAAGGCTGAGGTGCTTAAAGCCTTGTTTGCCTCAGTCTCTGTTGGTAAGACCAGTTCTCTGGGTGCCCAGTCCCTGAGCTGGAGGACAGGAGCAGAATGAATCCAAGGGGAAATGATCAGCAAGCTGTTACATCCCTGAGACACACACACGTCTGTGGGATTGGTGGGATCCACCCAGGGGACTGGAGGAGCTGGTGCAAGTACTCTAGAGCACAACTGTGATGAGAAGCAGGTCAGGGGGCTCAGCCTGGAGAAAAGGAGGCTCAGGAGGGTTGGTCTCTTCTCCCAGGTAATAAACAACAGGGTGAGGAAATGATGGCAAGTTGCACCAGGAAGGTTTAGATTGGATGTTAGGAAAAACTTCTTCACTGAAAGGGTTGTCAAACACAGGAACAGGCTGCTCAGGGCAGTGGTGGAGTGACCATCCCTGAAGAGATTTAAAAGACATGTAGATGTGGCCTTAAGGACATGATGGACTTGGCAGTGCAGAGTTAAAGGTTGGACTTGATGATCTTAAAGGTCTTTTCCAACCTAAACAATTCTGTGGTTCTGTAAATTAAACTTGGACCAATTCTTTCTGTTTTGTTGTACAATATCTAAATTATGTACTAATTAGTTATATCTTCCTCTCTTAAATTGCTGTTTCTTTGGTTGGCAATGAAAACTTGAAATGGCTTTTCCTGTCTTTTTAATTTAATCTTGGCATTCCTGCTGTCGAAGCCATGTTTTAAATTTTTTTCAAAGGAGATATGCTATAAACTTGCCTTTATAAAATGTACCAACTATGTACCTCAGCTCCAGGAGGAGCCATGCATGCATACTGCAATGTCAGCTTTTGCTTTTAGGTGATGGCAAGTACCTCTTGCCTTCTTTGAGTTCTTATGATAACTTTGACAGAAAATGGAAATATGGTTTGGAGTTTGACACTGACAATCTATTACCTAATAATATTTCATAGGTGTTGTCTTCTGTATTACTTTCTCTTACGTGGAGCAGTTAAGACTTATATTACAACTCTTCTGTGTAATGATTACTTTTATATTGGAGTAGGCCAAAGTCAGATAAATTATAGGTTGAAAGTGATGCTCATTTTGTTGCTGTGATTGAAAACTTTTATAATATTTAAAAATATGACTTGAAACTCCTAAATGTGTAGAAAAAGGTAAAAAATGAGAGTCCACACAGAATTAAACCAAAATGAGGACTAAAACCTATCTGGGGCAAATTGACAGAGCAAGTTATATCAACTGGAAATCTTACACATTTAAGTTGTTTTGAAAAATAATTGTAGTCTTGCATTTCCTTCATTCATCCATCCTTTTTTGGTTTAAGGTTACAGTGAGCTATATCTACTAGTTTTAATTGCATTTGGAACAGATTGAGTTTTTATTCTTTCTTTAGTAGAATGCTACATGTAATTTGCATTTGCTTCTTAGGGAGTAGGTAATATTTTAGTGTACAAATACATAATTGGCAGTATTATTGAGCTTGCTTGTTTCTTTTTTTAATTCTTGTGGCTCAGTCAAAGGCACTAGAGAGAATACTGTTGAATTCTGTGAGAGTGACTCATCCCCCTGATCCAACTGGGGGCTCAATATATTTTTGCAATCATCCAACTATCTGAGTAAACAAAAATTGATTGTAACTCCATGTGTTAATGCTATGTTCATATTTTAAATGTACACATCTCTATAACACCAGTGTGAGGAGATGCCTGTTCCTTCTTGCTGCATAAGAGAAGGAGAGAACCTGCTGAGCTCAGTGGGAGCTGACACGTCTCAAACATGAGCAGACAGCAGGATGCTGGCAGGGCTGGGCTGTGTAGGTGGGCCAGATCCAGCCTACTTGGGAAAGATTTGGGGTATGTCTGTGTGGAATTTAAAAGTCTGAGTGAAAAATTACTGTCTTATTTCAGGACTTACAGAGCACTAATCTAGTAGAGGTCTGCATGGCATTAACCGTTGTCAGCCAGATCTTTCCACGGGAAATGATTCCAGCTGTTCTTCCCCTAATAGAAGACAAACTCCAGCACTCTAAGTATGTATTCATTTACAGAACTTTAAATGGCCTTGTGTGGTTGAATAACTTAATTTTGTAGGTGGTTTTAGTAAACTGATGTGTCTTTTCTAATTTGGTCTTTCTAATCATTACGTTTGGAAATTGTTCCTCCTAGTTTTTTCTCTTGGATTATAATCTCGTTTATTTGCAGCCTTGACTGAGTACTGGATGGGTATTAATTTTTTTTGTAGCCAGTCTTCATAGGTAAATGTAATTGAATTTATTTCCTGGAGTCTTTTTAATGAATAGGGATGAAGAAGTGTTTGTAGAGTAGGTGGAGAAACAGATTAGGATCCTTGAACGTTACTGATACTTTTTCTTAATAAAGCTTTTTATAGAAACTTTGATAAAAGTATATCTGCAGATATGAATATTGTTTGAATCTTAGTTTATAGTATCCCATACACAGAGGATAATACTGTAATTGTTTTATTGATTAGAAAGAGAACTGTAGAATGAACTCAGTAACTTCTAGACATGTATTTTTTGGAGCTGCACGTACCACCACAAAAGATTAGTCATGGCCTATTTTATTGTTTATTTGCTGGCCATTCTTTTGAATAATCAATCTGACATCAAGCCCTACTAGGCTTTAAAGTTTGCTTTGTCACTTCTTCACTTAGGTAGTATTTGCAAAGTCATTTGTTACCAAATATGTAAAACAGAGGTTTTCTTCTCTCTGCAAATCATGGCTGGCCATTCGATTTTACAGTGCTCTAGAAATAAGAAGTGCAAGTTGTTTTGTGAAGTACTTAAAATACACAAGCAGCTTCATTTTGCTGAGTGTAAATCTCATTTCAGGGAAATTATCCGAAGAAAAGCTGTTCAGGCTTTATACAAATTCTATCTCATCGCTCCTAACCAAGTGCAGCACATCCATGATAAGTTCCGGAAAGCCTTATGTGACAGGGATGCTGGAGTCATGGCTGCTTCTCTGCATATTTATCTTCAAATGATTAAGGTAGGCAAAGAACTGGAAGCACAACTGAACTTGGGAGCTATTTTTATGTGTTTTCATTTTAAATCCACAGTGTGCCCTACGGAAGTTTTGCCGAAAAAACTTACTTGTAATCGTTAGAAAAGGTAATTTGTGTGATCATGGGCATCTGTGTTATGTTTGTTTATGCCAGCTCTCCATTTAGATCCACTTCTTGCATGATCTGAATGCTCAGCATCACTGGATCCTTGCCTGGAGGATCTCAGTTCTACAGTGTGTTTAAGGGTTTGATGGAATTTGCTTGTGAATATGTTACATCTGCTCCCTTTCCAAATGTGTGAGAAAAGAGCATAGGTTTAAAGTGAAGAGCTTATGGGTGTTGGGGAATGAGAGTAGAAGTTTAATTTAAAGTAATGGAATCATCAGCATAGATATTTTGATCCTACACAAGTTTTGGATTGTTTTTACTTTTGAGTTGCTGTATCAAACTGTTTGAATTGTGTTTGTTCTTCATTATGTAGGAAAACTCATCTGGATACAAGGACTTGACTGGGAGTTTTGTAACCATCCTAAAGCAGGTGGTGGGAGGAAAGCTCTCTTCTGACTTCAACTATCACAGTGTGCCAGCACCATGGTTACAAATTCAGCTTTTAAGAATATTGGGACTGTTAGGAAAAGATGATCCAAGGTAACCAAATCTTTCTCTGTAATTAATAATTTGAAGGTACAAAGAGTACAGTCACAGCCTGAACCTCACAGACAGCTTGGATTTGCTTGGTTGGTAATTTTTAGGAGGATTTCACTGTCGAAGTTCTTATACATTTGTTATTAATCAAGACAGTGAGCAGACTAGTTCTGCAAAATTTGTTTCTTAGCTTCTGGATTGGCTAAACAATTGATTGTGGAATATGCTTAAAATGTATATTTTGCTGAGACTTCTATTACAAGGTTACCAAATAACTGTATGAAAATCCAGAGTAAAGCTATTTTAAGAGTGCTACCATTTTGTAAGAACCTAGCCATCTGTGATCCTTTTCCTATTGATCTTTTCTTTTTATTTATACCAACAGTAAGAGAGGTGTTTCCATTCTTGTGATATGGTAGATGTTTCTTTTGAAAGCTGCAAATATCTTGTTAAATTGCCATTTAGGCTCATGTTATAGAGCTCCTCTGTGTTAAAGTGAACTTGTGGATGTGAATAATGTTCCAATTTCTATACTAGTCTTTGAGTGGCAAAAAGTCAGTGGGTCAGTGGGTAATCTGTCAATGGGGGTGGGACAGCACTGCAGTTCCTTGAGACAGTCACTGAGCTTGTTTGTTAAAAAAAGACCACATTAGTGCTGCAATTAATGTTAAATATTTTTTCTTAAACAGGACAAGTGAATTGATGTATGATGTTCTAGATGAATCTTTAAGAAGAGCAGAAATAAATCATAATATTACATATGGTGAGTGAGGTTATTTTGTGTAACTATCAGTCTTTGAAAAGATTGAAAACTGTGAGTAGTTGATTGTGCCAAAATACTTACTTAGTGCTTTAGAAATATCTAACTATTTTCTTAAAAATATTCTTGAATGTCCAACTAGTAAATAGTAGAACAAGTGTTTAAATGTTCTTTAAAACCATTTGATCCAGACAAAAGAAAAATGTAGTTATGAGTGATTACTCTTTCTTATATGAAGAAATTGATTATTGCATGTTCATCTTTCTGTTGAGTTATTCATATGCTACTCTTCCACAGATTTAGTTTTGTAACACTTTAAAAGTAGGGGATTGTCTACTGGACAGTTCAGTTACTGAACTACTTTACTGAATTACAAGGAATAGTGAAAATTACATCATGATTTTAAGCCCTAATTAACTTGGGAGACTAACTTGGTCTGAATCTTTGCCCAGATTGTTGCCACAAAGGATTAATTACTTTTTGTGTATTGTTCAGTTTGCTTCTAGATTTTTCTAAAAGAATTCTACAAAGTTTTTTTTGGTTTGTGTTTTGATTTTGGGGTGGTTTTTTTTTTTTTTTAACAAGGCTGTTCTTGGGATGATTTTGGCTGTTATTAGAAGCTAAGACATCATATGAATTATCAGAAAATATTTCATCTCAAATCCTTAAGAGTTGCCCATTGGCTTTCTGAAGACTTTTCCAGTCCAGTGCTTTCAGCATCTATAGGAGACTTCAAGGTTGGAAGAACTTTAAGGACAGAAAGTTGTATGGACAGTGGCAAGGGCTAATAAAATATATATATAGTAAAAGGGATAGGCTTTCATCCTGTTTTTCCTTATGTCAGTGGGTACTCTGTGATTCAGTTCAGTGGGGGTGGGACAGCACTGCAGTTCCTTGAGACAGTCACTGAGCTTGTTTGTTAAAAAATTTTGAATTATAGAAGTATTTAATACACACTAATAATGTGTCTTCCCCCTTGCAGCCATCTTATTTGAATGTGTCCAAACAATTTATACAATTTATCCCAAATCTGAACTACTTGAAAAAGCTGCCAAGTGCATTGGAAAATTTGTTTTGTCACCCAAAATTAATTTGAAGTACTTAGGTAAGGCTGCCTGATTTCATTATGCTGTTTTGAATGTGGCCATAGTAGTATGCAGTGTCTTATATCACTTACAATCACATTCTAGGTTTAAAGGCTCTGACCTATGTTATCCAGCAGGATCCTAATCTGGCCCTTCAGCACCAGATGACAATAATTGAATGTCTGGACCATCCAGATCCCATTATTAAAAGGGAGGTGAGTGGATTTCCAAATGTCAAAAATTAAGTTAATTTTTAAGATGGGTGATGGTTTTTCTGAAATTAGTGGTGTAAAAGGGATATTATTTTTCAGTTATTGTGAGAGAGTAGTTAAGACAATATTAATGTGACAAGCTATGTAGGTAATCAGTGTATTTCATTTAAAACTTGCTAAATAAAGATAGTTACTCAATTTGGCATCATACCAATTTTACTGTTTTCCTGCTTCCTTTTTTGTGTCATCAGAACCAATTGATTTTTTTTTTACTTTCTCTTGCAGACTTTAGAGCTTCTCTATAGGATTACAAATGGACAGAATGTCATTGTCATAGTTCAAAAGATGCTTGACTACTTAAAAGAAAGTAAAGAAGAATATGCTATCATCAACCTTGTTGCCAAAGTAGCAGAACTAGCTGAGAAATATCCTTTTATTTTTCTGAACTAGCTGAGAAA